TGTCACTTAAATTGGAAAAACTCCCTCGCGCATTTACCCTTCGGGGCAGGCGCGCAAAAAGGAAGTGTGACACCCCTCGCGGGGCGGAAAAAGGAGGTGTGACAATTATCATATAATAGATACCTCTAAATTATGTTTCCTAGAGTTAATTTAAAGAAGTCCATCTCTGAACATCCGAGCTAAAAAATATGACTTTAAATTTCAAACTGCGATATTCTTTAGAAAACTCAAAATTAGTGGTGTCAATCCAACTCGATATTGTTTGTATGTTTTATATATTTTTAATGAACTTATAGATTGTAGTCAAATTACCTTATTTCTTGATTTTAACATGACATAATATTATACTTTTGAGTTTTAATTAGGTAGTATAACACGATTTTCATTTAATTAAAGACCGACATCTCAAAGACTTCGCAATATATTTTTCTATAGATAATGTAAAGCATAACATGGCTACCATTTAGGAGAAAGCCTTAAGAAAATGGGGAGCCCTAATTTTACTGTAGCTTTTGCTGTAAAGATTTTCCAATTCACCTATAATCTGCTGTATTTTAACTTATCAAGAATAAATGTTGCTGAATGAGTCGATCACAACAGGTAGGCATCTAGTCCTGAACTGAAAATTAAAGAAATTCTAATGAAATTTAACCCAATTCTTCTGACATGAAATTGTTGCAGCGCAAACATAAAGAGTTATAAATCATATCATGAGCTTACACTAAGTTACCAGAAATTACTTCGACACTCATGAGAAGCAAAAAATCTTTCATATGGATAGAAACATGCAAAAACAATTTAACAAAAAAAAAAAGAAGAGAACATGCAACATTATTATAGATGTAAGTAGGCTTCTTGAGAAGCAAGTTATTTATTAAAAAAAACGCAAGGATCTAGGAACAATATCCACATTCTGTAATCGACGAATGAATTCATAGAAAGAAGGTAACTAAAATTAAAATATTAACCCGTGAGAAAATTTTCACCAAAACTTTGTAGTACTGACATTCTTCATCTTGTCATCATCGTCAAAGGAGAACTTTTTCTTGAAGCCTGAACTTGTTTTACTAATGTTTAGCAATTGATAATATTCAGGAAAATAATATCATGATAAGTCACAGCAATTCCAACATTATAAGAATATTATCGGGTAGGCGAATGAGAATATGTAAAACTGGAATCGAAAAAAGTTATGAAAACTTCCAATTTCATGAAACCCATTTAAAGGCAATGTATACGTTACTTTTGAGGGAGTAAGCAAATGAAAGTTTAATGGGCAAGTAAATACATAAAATGAAAGAAAATAGTAGTGAAACGTCTTTCAAGTAAATATGAAGAGTTTAATGGGTAGTAAATACACAAAATGGATGGAAAATAATATGGCATCTCTCGAACAAAGAAGAAAGAGAAAAAAACGGATGTCTTTCACTTTTGAAACTGTATTCTTTTCTATTCCTTTATTTCTTACGGAGTTATAATTAAAACCACAACTTTTTGGATTTAAATAATTAAATATTGTATTAAAATAAGAAAAAACTTAAAAAACCTGATAAAAGAGATAAATACATTTCCTTGATTAGGAGAGGTATATATATATATATATATATGAATTGATTATACCAGCTAAAGTTGGGACTAAGACCTCTGATTCTGAAATATATAAAAGGTGAATATGGGCTCATTCACCTATTATGTGAACCACTTATAGATGCATATATAAGATGGTTACATGTGTGTTCATTGTCAACTTGCAGTTTGGCATTTGAAATTGCTTTTCTCAACTAAGAGCAAAACTTTCAGATTATGAAATCAAGACAGTTCATCTTGATAATATTGGTTCATATCCAAGCTGGTTTAGCATTGAATATCTCGTATTAATGGCTAAATCATTGCTTATGAGAACAAAGCTTCATGTGTTGGTCTAAGATTTTCTAAATTGCATATAGCAGCACTTGTGTGCATCAGACCAACAATATATGATAAGTCCTCCCCTCACAATTGGTTTAGGATCAGAAACCAAATATTTTTACTATCTTTTGATGTGTGGTATATGATTAATTCCTCTACCACAATGCACAAAGATATGTTTCCCAAAGAAGAGTGTGGATATATGTTAGTATTTCTAACATTTGGGCGATGGAATAAACAGCTGAAAAATATGCTATATGAATCGAATTATCATTAATATGATCCTCACTTAGAAGATAATTCAAGTAAAATGTCAGAAGTATTTGCTGATCCAAAATTAAATATCATACTTCAGTTGCAAATGCTCCTATTAAAATTTAAAGTCCCTGAAGGATAAAGTTTACTGTACGCATGAAGCGTGGTAGACCAATCGGTTCCAAAGGTAACAATCCTTGAAAAATGATAAGGAGCTAATGATCAAAGTGATCATAATAAGGAGGAAATGAGCTTTAGAAGAGCCCACGACATAACATTTCATGAAACTCCAGAAGAAGTTCAGGTACCTGAAAATAAAGAAAGTGATGAGATCTCAACAAGTTATGTCGCTTGCGAACCGATACAAAATGATCGTCGACGATATATGTGATACAATATAATGCACAATACTGTGAAATATTGTGAGGATCAAACTAGTAGTCCAGACACCTGAAGATGTCATACCATTTAAATGCGAGTCATAACCTATATGACTCATTTGATCAAATCTCTATAAAGATCCCTGAATGATTTAAAATGCCTGAAGCATATTCAAAATCTCAGGAAATGTTTTCAATCAGATTACAAAATCTTTGTACGGTTTAAGGCTATCTAGGTGCATGTGGTATAATCGCCTCAACGAATATTTGTTGAAAGAGGGCTACATAAATGATGTTATTTGTCCATGTATTTTTATAAAGAAAATGGCTTCAGAATTTGTTATACTTGATGTTATGTTGATGACATAAATCTTGTTGGAACTCTAGAAGAGCTCTAAAAGGAAATTGAATATCTTAAGAAAGAATTTGAGATGAAAGATCTTGGGAAGACAAAACTTTGTCTTGGTCTGCAAATTGAACATTTAGAAGAACGGATTTTTATCCATCAATTTGTCTATACAGCAAGAGTCTTAGAACGCTTTTACACGGACAAAGCGCACCCATTGAGTACACCAATGGTTGTTCGATCACTTAAAGTAGATAAGGATTTGTTCCGACTTCCAAAAGAGGATAAGGAACTCCTTGGTCCCGAAGTACCCTATCTCAGTGCAATTGGTGCACTAATGTATCTTGATAATGCTACAAGGCCTGACATAGCATTTTCTATTAATTTACTAGCAAGATATAGTTCTTCTCCTACACGGATTAAGGATCCGTTCTTACCTCCATAAGAGAATGATAAACTCATTGGTCCAGATATACCCAAGTCTCTGCACTGTACTCTTTTTCCTTTGCTCGGGTTTTTTCCCACTCGGTTTTTCCTAGTAAGGTTTTTAATGAGGCAGCTTGCAATGTATATTATTAGTGTACTCTTTTTCCTTGACTAGGATTTTTTCCCACGAGGTTTTTCCTAGTAATGTTTTAACGAGGCACATAATAATGAGCATCCAAAGGGGAGTGTAATAAAAATATTATTGTGGATATCCATTTATTAATCCGATGTAAATAATCTTTCTGAAGAAGATTATTCATTTAGTACTCCATTGAAGTTTTCTATAAGCAGCTGATGCAGGCAAGTTGCAAGGAACTCAATGAAATGACTTGTAGCAGCTTCTTGGTTTGATGAAATTAATTTAAATCGATCTAAAATAGTGGTGGTTGATATTATCTACAAACTCAACTTTTTGAGAAGATGGTATACAAGATTGGAATGCGGAGACTCAACTATTTGAAACAAGGTTTTCATCAGGGGGAGTAAAATACGCGATGCACTCTTTTTTCCTTACTAAGATTTTTTTCCCACAGAGTTTTCCTTACAAAGTTTTTAATGAGGCACCTAGCAATGCGTATTACTAAATATGTGTACTCTTTTTCCTTCACTAGGATTTTTTTCCACGAGGTTTTTCCTAGCAAGGTTTTAATGAGGCACATTATCTTTTAATATCCAAGGGGGGTGTTATAAATATATATATTATATTATGGATGTTTCTTTAGTACTCTGTTGTAAATAAGCTTCCTGAAGAAGCTTATCCATATGGGACTCTGCCGTAAATATGGTTATCTATTTAATACTCTATTAGAAATAAGTTTCCTGAAGAAGCTTATCATTTCGGTACTCCGTTATGGATAAATATTACCCCCGACAGAAAATTATCTATATTTGGTACAGTGGCAGCTTACAAGCAACTTACAAGAAGCTTACACAACAGCTTACAAGCAACTTACACAGCAGTTTGCAGTAGCAGTTTCCACAGCAGCTTGTAATAGCAGCTTACACAACAGCTTTCGTTCTTTTATAAATAGAGAAGATTTCAGTTCATTACATGAATTTGAAGTTGAATAATAAATCTCTCTTTCTCTTAGTACTTGTCTTCGGTTTCTTTACTTTAAAATCTTTATTTTATAACAATTTGCAATTTTTTTTTAAAAAAAAATCATTTTATAACAGTGAGTAAATGGTTATGCTAGAGTGAAAAGTAAAAGGTAAATGGTTATGCTAGGATCTTTACCACTTGTTTTTTTTTCTCTTATGTCTCTGTCCATCCCACAGAAACAAAGATCGCCGGTTTACAACCAACAAAACTCCCGCGTTTTACAAGGCAGCAAACCCTTTTGTAGTTTCATCAAAACCATTGTCCCCAAGAAATGGCAAAACCGAATCTTTCAGACTCAGAAACAGAAGAGAGAAACTCAGGCTCAAGCTCGGACTCAGGTGGCTTTCCGGTGGAAATGGAACCCCAAAGCACCGGGAAAATCACAGAGTATGAGCAACAAAGAATGAAGAGAATTCAAGAAAACAAAGCAAGAATGGAGGCTATGGGTCTCCATAATATGGCAACTTCTTTGATGGGTTCTTCCCAAAAACCCCAGAAAAAAGGCAAGGACAAAAAGGGGAAAAAGAAAGTGGTTGATGAAGATGAAGATTATGAGCCAGCTCAAAGTGAGGACCTTTCAAGTGCTTCGGGCGAAGAAGATGAACAAAATGATGTGGATTATGATGTTTCAAAGTCCCAATTGAAAAAGGTACAACCTTTTTACTTTTTCTGTTGATTAACTAAAATAAGACTAAGGTAATTTGTTTTTGCGTCTGAAAGATTTTAGCTTTTTTGGGAAAGATTGTAAATTTTTGTGAAAGGTACAAATTTTCAGGTGCAAAAGCACAGTATGGAGCAAGAAATTTGTTATGCTCTATCTTTTACTTTGCTTTTACTTCTTTATGTTATTTTGTGTGCATTGATTGTATTTTGTAGTTTTGTTTTTATGCTTATGATTAGTATAAAAAATGAGTTACACCATTTTCATATGAAAAGTAATGGAAAGCAACAATGTCATACCTTTCCTTTTATACTGTCTAGTAGAAACTCTTAACTAAGAAATCTAAACCCCTTAGAAGAATTATGTTTGTGGTTTTTGTTAAATGGGTGGATTCTACACTGATGATGTCAAAAAGCAACTACTATCAAAGGAGTCTATTATGTGCATCCTGAGCTCTGAAACTTTTCATGAAGACAGGATGCATTCCTTATGTTATCGTGTGTTGAGCATCTGAAAACTGATGTTCCTGAATATTGTTAGCTGGGAAAAACAACACATGAATGACGTGCATACTACAACTACTTTGAATTAAGGCATCTAAGTACATCTGAATTCTTAGCCGTGGAGCTGTCCGTGAGGGAAGGCGGCCATCATAATGCGCTTGTCCTGCATTTAACCCTTTTTATTTGCTTCCGCAGTTGGATAGACGAAATACTCCAGTTTGGTATCCTTTTAATTTTCATTGAATCTCTTATTGCAGTCAAAGAAAAAAACTCAAACTCCTAAGAAGAGAGTTTCTAATACAACGTTACCAACTGACAAGGATTTTGTCGATGATGATGCCGCCTTAATGCAGGTGAAATATATTATTATTCAGTCTTATTGACACGCATATGCATATATAAAAACCGAAAGATACATGCGCATTACTCTTATGTGGGAGGCTGAGTAAAACTTATGTATGTGCAGGCTATTGCCTTGTCACTACAAGATTCTGCAGGTTTTCTGAATCTTGCAAATAAAGTGCCTACACAAGTCACCAATGCAGATTCTGCTCATAAGGCCAGTAACGAAAAAACTCTTTCCAAAAAGGCCAGTAACGAAAAAGTAGGTTCCTGCAATCAGGGAGATACTACTGGGAAAAGGAAGAGAAAACAACAGGTACGTTTTATTATTTACTTTACTAAATCAGTGAAAATTCTGAAACTTTCTCATACTCCTTCCTTATGCTTGGGTACTTTACAATTGTTTTTACCAGACAAGAAATCGAGTGCAGATGACTGAGGATGACTTGATTATGCATTTCTTTCAGTTTGATGGTAATGCTGAGTCTGCATTGTATGGTTTCATCCAGTTTTTGGTCTACAATACTGAAACTTTTTTATGTGATGTCGCATGTACTTATGGCATGTCGTAGCATCAAATTTCTTTGGTTTCTATTCTAGATTGATTGTATATGCTCCACCAATTAGTTGGTATCTTTCTCACAGAAGCTGGAAAAGGGAGTATAAGTCTCAGAGATTTACGGAGAGTGGCAGCTTCCCATGATTTTACATGGTCAGATGAGGAGATGGCAAAGATGATACATTGCTTTGATTCTAACGGAGATGGAAAGGTACTTGTTTCCTTTAAATTTTGAACTTTTTTGGTTTCTAAAACTACAAAAGCATTTCGTATTCAGTGAAGGCCTAAGTTTTGGATAAGATTCAAAGAGGAAGAGATCAGGGAGGACTGGTTCTACTAATATCAAATTTTTGTTGCTTTCATGCTTGGGTTGAATGTAGACAAGTCAAAGCAATTAATCATAAACTAGCCATTAAGGCACACTACCCTCTATCCTCCCCAGACCCTGCTAGTAGGATTTTTCTGGGTCATTGTTGTTGTTGTTGTAGCCATTGAGGCACATTAAGTTGTTTGGGCTTTATAGATTATTAGTTACTTAGATTTAATTAGTTATATGGAGGTAGGTTATCACCCATCTGCAACTGAAAAGAAAAAAAAAAGTGGCTAATCCTGTTTGTTGTTTTCTTTTGCTAGGTTCTTGAAAAAATCTTTTTCCATGACCTTCAATGGGAGAAAAACTAACTAAAAACCTGTACAGTTGTTTTTTCTGGTTCTTTGTTGTATCTATAGTATTATTTCGTAAATGATGTGTGCTAAGATAACAAAAACGATGACAATAATGATTTGGTCCACGTCTATCTGTCCTATAATGTATGTTTTAAAGCTGTATGCTTTAAATTTGTCAATTATTCTTGTTTTTTCTAATTCCTTTCTACCCTGTTGTAACGGTGTATTGCAGTTGAGCCTGGATGATTTTCGCAAGATTGTGGTCAGATGCGATATGATAAAAGGTTCCGAAGATGCTGCTTGATGATGTATTCAAAGAGTACTTAAATCTTTTAAAGAAATGGAGGACTGTGTGTCTATTGGACATAACTGGCTGACTTCATGTCACTACCTTAGTGAGAGGGGAAATGTTATAGCTAAAAAGTTAGACAACTTGGAAAAAAAATAAAAAAGTTCTCGGAATCTCGCACAAGATGAACTGACAATTGCAACGGGATTCAAATGATGGATTCAGAAGAGAAGTCATATAGTGATTTTTGCTTAGAATGGAAAGGAAAGAAGGGTTATTTTAACCTAAGATATTAGTACAATCAATAGTATCCTCTCCTTTTGCTTTCATTCTGAATTCTTCCAGCCAACATGTTGTAAATTCTTCAAAAAGACGGCCATTGAATGTTGGAACGCAATGACCCCATATTAACTCTCTGGTCATAGGAGGTCTTATCCTCCGTTAACTTTAACCAGTTATTTTGCTTTGTTTTCCTTCTTAAGAGGAGCTTTGCTCATTCTTGTATATGCATTACTGTGTTAACGTATCAAAGCCCTTCAAATTTGATGGAATTGTTAGTTTATCGCATCTTACTAGAATGAAGTGTGTTAGTCTGCCAGCCAAGTTTATGATCCTATAGCTCAAGTTATCAGAAACAATCCAGCTTGGAGTTAGTTTTGGTAATGGTAGTCCCTATTTGAAGATCATATAATTATCACTACTGGCTTAGGTACTGTATATTTCTCCAAGAAAATAACCAGATATTTGATTATTTGTTCGTCGCTACTGCTAGATACTTAAATGAGTTTTGCAGCGAAATAAAACTGATCAATATCGAATCACCTACGTATGTATTCAAGAGTAATGTCATAACCCAAGATACCAAACTATTATACTAGATTTTTGTTATTCATTGTTCCGCCAGGTTGCACCTTCTTTCTCTCAATCAATTACTGAACTATACCTCAGTCTCAAACTTTGAGTCAGCTGTCTGAATCCTCTATCCGTTCTGCTTAACTCAAAACAATCTTTCTCCAGTATTGTTTACCTCTAATGATAATTCTAAAGTTCACAAGCTTTGAGCTAAAGTTGGTTGAATACCTAGTCTTGCTGGGGACTGAAAAGTTCGAGAATACCAATCAGTCCTACCAGAATGAACTACTAATTATCCTTACATAGCAGCACCATACCAGAAATCTTATTTTGTGCAACTTTCAGTTTTCCAAATAGCTAGCCATCCTATACAGTTTTCAAGTTTGCCTGCTGGTGGAGCTCGAATGAGATTCAACCTCTAAACATCATATGTTTATAACTAGAAAATTGCATAACACAAGATATTAGAGAGGATGAAATCTCAAGAAATAAAGTTGTAACTATAAATGTAAAACTAGTCTAAGTAAATCAAAACCGTCTGTCCATACCAATAAGATCACATCAACTCTAAAAACTCAGTGAACAGACACACTAGCTGCAGCACAAGTCCCATAATCAGGAGGTATGCTTAATTGGCACTAAAATGTCTCCTCCACATGTAGGCAAAGGATGTCAAATGCAGTTAGTCACACGATGAAGCTCTTGAGCTCACATTACAGAAACAGATTAAAACCTGTCTTGTACATTTCAGTCAACCAGACAACTAATGATACAAAGCTTTACTGGATTAGTCACCTTTTTCTTCAAGGTTCTATAATTTTTTAAACACTTGGGGCACTGACGATACAGCAGCAACCTCTTAGTGGTCATGTCTTCTTGAGAAGATAGCCAAGAAAGATGCCAAGCAGTCCAACAATAACAACATACATAAATGGGATTCCGCCACGACTTCTGCTGCTTTCACGCTTCAAGAACTCCTGCATCCAACAAGGTTCATGAAGTTTTAAGGATAACATTCAGAAGGCCACAATAAATTTCTTGCAGTGCCATAATGGGAAAAGATGCCACTCGGTTCTGTGTCAAATATTTGGAATACAATTACAGTTCAAGAGCCAGTGACTTCAAAATGCAGTAGCCTGACACTTAATTCACTTACACGGCAGCAACAAATATAGCAATTAGCTAATCATACAGTCACCAAAAAGCAAGTGAGAGCTCATGATTAATCAATTCATTACCAAAATAATGAAAATGCCACACGCTAGCCCGCCCTTAAAGGTAGCCCATGCAAACATGAACTGACGACGAGGTTCTCTAATTACCTGACCTTTTTTGAGGTCCACTGCACAGCTTATCAAGCTATATCATCATTTTCCATAATAAAAGATTTCATCTTATGTGCACACAAATTAAAGAAAGAATGTGCTTCATCCATGTGATTAAGAAAAAGGCAATGCTTTCCCATAGCATTTTTGTTGCGCGGACTCTCCAAAATACTGCCGCACCCGTGTCGGATTCTCCAAAAATATACTGCTTGTGGAGAATCCGGCACGCACCCGGCGATATTTTCGGAGAGTCCGAGCAACATAGTATAGCAACGGAGAGGGATGCAGTTATCAAACAAAGGGAACGAATAAAACAAAGGATGCTTGCCTCATCAATGCAGAAAGGTTATACAATGGCTTGACCAACTAACAGAATGCTTGTTCTATGCTTGACCTACTAACAGAATGCCTGTCCTATGCATGTCCAGACCTCAAGATCCACTTACGTAGTTAACATATCTGACCATGTAATTGAAAAATCTTATTTCTCTCAATCACCCTCTGTCGTTGCCTAAATACACAAACACCATTGCAGCCCAGTGCACAAAGCATCCCGCATTTACGCAGGATCCGGGGAAGGGCCGCACCCTAAGGGATGTAATGTAGACAGTCTATCCTAATGCAAGCATTGATGGTTGCTTCCACGGCTCGAACCCGTGGCCTATAGGTCACATGGAGACAACTTTACCATTGCTCCAAGTACAATCTTTAGCCCTCTCTAATCAGCTATTAATTGAAGCTCAATTCTTTTTTCCTGAGCCCTTCAATCTCTTTAAAGAGAAGGAAAAAAGAAAGAAAACTATCTTTGGTGTAAGCAAGAATACATGGAAGATCTAGAGTTGTTGATGTTTTAGGATCCTTGTAAGTAGGTTAAGGCTTAATGTACTTCTGTTCCACTTTTTGTAACAATGGATGATTGCACTAGCTTTGGTGCAGTTAATAAATATACAACAAATGTTACCTTCTCAAAAAAAAAAAAAAGGGAATACAGAAAGATCAATTCTGAAATTGCTGATACATCCTGTAAGATATAGTGAGAAGTTGCAAGAATTCTGATAAGACGGAAAAAAACAGTAAAATATATTTATAATTTTCTATATTAAAGCCCTTACCAGTTCTTGCTGAAGCTTGTTACTTTGCTGCATTGCAGAATTTTTCTCCGCTGTCAGCTTCAAAATTAGTGTTTTTGCCTGCAAATAAAAGAAAAAGAATCCTCAATCTTTTGTTTCATTAAAAAGTTATTCTGCATCTTTTCTTCTCCAAAGCGAAGAACAGTGTACAGTGATCCAGGTTTAGTTATAACGACAAACTTTACAGTCTGTAACATCCACCTATTATGAAACAAGTATTCATTTGAATGAGCGGAAAGAAAATTTTAAACAGTACATTTGCTGAAGCCAAAAAAAAGCAGCGCCGAAGCAGTCATTAGTTACACTTGTAATTACAAAAGCCTAAAAAATGACTAGAGCTACAAAATAAATATTTTATACAGCTAATAATATATGCAAGAAAACGAATGTGTCTTCTACCATCATAGAACCAAATGATTCCGCTCAAACTTCAGAGAGAGATTTTAGACTGACAGGTTTTCTCCTACCTATCTTGAATTCTTCTAGCATCACTGTTCGTGGTCCAAGTTAAAATATTAAGCCAGAAGAAGTGAAGAACATAGTAATACCAGCTCTTACATACCAAAGGATCAAATACACAGATATATGAAATTTCGTAGAAGATGATTGCATGTCCAATATAGCATTGATCATGAGAATAAACCACTTCAAAAAAGGAAAGGTTATCCAAATAACAACGCATCATTAAAATAAAACTGCCCACAATAGGTGGCCAACACAACAAGAAAAGGAATATGACTTTGTAATTCTTCTGGAATAAAGGATGTCTTCACCAAGCAAAAGTTTGATCTACGACAACCTAGCAAAACTTTTAACACAATAAAGCTCCATTATGAGTTGTCTATATTAGATTAAATTTCCTAGCAATTTTTTTCTTCTGTAAGCAACAATTTATTTCTCTCGTAAAGTAGTTATCACGCATGCATGTATAACAACATTTTGAGCCAAAATGACAAAGAAAAGCACCACCTATATTACAGGTAAAAAGATGGAGGCTGGGTCAGAAATAATGAGGAACTATACATGAGATTTATAACAGCTTTTGATACATAGCCCAAATCAACTAGCTTTGCAGGGAGTTGTCCTTTTTGACGGAATGGGTGCATGGTGGAGATAAGAGTACAGAGAAAGTTCAATTAGAGAATTTGTTTATAAGAATTAAAAAGATATGCCTATTGGCTCTCCTAAGTACTGGGGAGAGGTGATTAGGCGGGACATACCGCTGCTTCAGCTCACGGAGGACATGACCGTTGATAGGAGGGTGTGGAGGTCGAGGATTAAGGTAGAAGGTTAGTAGGTAGTTTATAGTTGTTCACCGATAGTCTTAGTAGCATGCATGTCCCTTCATATTCTTAAATTTTTATTACGTTATGTGGTTTTGTTCGCCTCAGGTATTGTATTCCTTGTTGCTATTATTTGGTACTACTTATCCTTTATATCTCCCTTTTCTTTCCTCTTCCATCTTCCCTTCTTCCTTGCTTTCCTCTTCTTCTTATTGCCCTTCCTGAGCCGAGGGTCTATTGGAAACAGCCTCTCTCCCTGCATTAGGTAGGGGTAAGGTCTGCGTACAGACTACCCTCCCCAGACCCCACTTGTTGGGATCAAACTGGGTTTGTTGTTGTTATTGTTGTTGTTGTCTATTGGCTCTCCTGAGGGAAGCTTGATAATTTCAGCTATCCCTCAACAAGTGAAGTGGTTTTCCATTCTTCCTCAAATTACCGGTGTTTTATAGCTCAACCTTTGTAGCAAAGATCAGTTGATATGCCTGATCCAGACTGAGTTTTTAACCACAATCAGGAGGTAAGCAGGTATTTGACTGGCTAAGATATTTAGAATTTAATACATTCTCATTTATTTCATTGTGATACTGGCAATTAGGATATTGGGGCAATGTTTTTATTCATTTGCAAATGAGGAAAAAAGAAGTATACAATGATACTCCACTGAATGCAAAGGGCATAGCATATCCAAAGTACCTTTCCCATTGGTCAGTTATCATTCTGATTAGACAATCAAGGAACACTATATTCCATACCACATGGTATACCTAGTGCTAAAAAAAGGGACCTTGAACCTAACTCAACCTCGAAGTCCAGCTCGTGAGTTGAGGATTGTCCAAGGCCATATAAAAAGACTAATGTCCATTTCATCAAACCCAAAAAAAAAAAGAAAAAAGAAAAGGAGACAACTGTCCATACCCTCAGCAAGTGTAAGACTAACATCCTGGCACGCCCAGGACTGAACATCTGGAGCGTGGACAAGGCCCACGCCCACATCGGCCCAATATCAGGGATGCGTTTGACTCTATTATAATACCACATTAGACATTGGACCTAAGTCAACGCAAAAGTTAGCTCGTAAAGTGAGGATCATACAACACCATATAAAGAGACTAGACTATGGCTGATCCCTCAACCAATGTGGGGCTAACACCTTGCAATTAGAAAACATAATAATAAAGTCAAATTAAAAACGGCAGTATTCCAAGATAAATCTTGGCCACTTTATAAGAGCAAAACACTGGAAAGGTGGAAAAAAGATAGACACACAAACCAAACAATTCTCAATGCTCAAATGNACATCTTAATCCCAAACTACTAATAATTACAACACCAATTACTAGTAAAAAGATATTTAGCAAACTCAAAAGAACATGCAGCGGCATACGTATAAGGAGAACTCTGTGTGTGTGTGTGTGTGTGAGAGAGAGAGAGAGAGAGAGACCTGTGACATCACAGGTAGAGTGAGGCATCACAATTCCAGTGTTAGGCCTTACACAGTACTTCTTTGGATTCGTCGTCTTCACCTAAATTCCAAAAAGAAAATGTAATCACAACAAAATAAATAAATAAATAATTACAGTAAATTTGCATGATACCTTGAAGGCAACATAGTTATCGGATTTGTTGGTCAATTGCAAGGAGCATGAGATCTGCTTCTTCAATTCGACTATTCAACATAAGAAGAAGAAAAACAAAATCAAAACAAGAGAACAACAGACGGATCTAACAAGTTCAACAAGGTAGAAAATGTTACAGGGAAACTGAAGCTCAATAGGTTCGATTTGAAGTAGCTCTCCGTTACTCATTTCGACAGCGATCTTCTCTATATAATATAATATTTTAGGTATCTGCCGGAGATTCTATTTTTAGGACGGATTCGGACGGTTTCCGGCGACGGAGGTGGGATTTAGAAGTTGTTTAGCGGCGAGGATCTCGAGGTGAAGAGAAATGATTGGGTTTTTACAAAAATTGGGAATTTTATTTAGGATTTTGGAGAGAGACAGAGAAAAGGAGGGAGAAAAAGAGAGAGTGATGCCAAGTAAGAAAGAAACGTGGGACAGTGTCTTTTGTCTGACTTCTACCCATGCTGGCGCATGTTTAAATTCCGTAAGCGGCTTTTTTCCTTGTTAGGTGATAATACTAATATATCAGCACAAAATTTAAGAAATTTTTTTAAAAATTATATTTAAAATAAGTCTGAGATATAAAAATGTTATAGTTATTTGTACTTACTAAAAAGAAAAGATATTGTTATTGTTGACTCCCAATCGAGAACAAAGTTAAACAAAATATTTATTAGCAAATTTGGACCTTTTGCCTTTCTCTTTTATTGTTGTCTCCAATGAAGAATTAAATTATATATAATTGGCAATATAACAAAAATTCTTGCATTACATGTTGAGAACGTAACTTACTACCTTTTGGGAGTAAACTTAATTTTAATAATTTGATACAAAAATAATATCTATAATATCTGCAAAATAATAATAACAACAATAATCCAGTAAAATCTCATAAATAAAATCTAAGGAGAATAATATGAATGACCTTACCTCTATCTTGTGTCTGAACCGTTCCTTCTAGCAAGTAATTCACTTAAGTAAAACCTTTTAGTTGTCATCTAACGTTTCTATTAAAGTTTAAGAGATACAATCAAAGTTTTCGGTTTGACCTTTAAGTTTCGTTACTCCCTTTTGAATATTTGTAAAAATTGCACGGGTGCCTTATTTGGTCGCCCCCATTTAACATATATCCATTTTTTAATTTTTTTTTAACTTGTACATACTTTTTAAACAACTTCAGCCTCCTTTCTCTTCTCCTTCTCAAAGTTTTATCTTTTTTTTTTCTAGAAGTAAGGTTCATCCCTATCTTCTTCTTCTTATTTCTCCGGTGAGTCCTATAAATTTTCAATCATTTTTTCCTTTTCGCTGACACCCTCAGCTATAAAGGTTCTATCTTGGTTTTGCAACTTGAATCTTATGCACAATTTTGGTGTGAAAATGGGACAAGAGAAATTAAGTATTAATTTTATATTGTTGTTTGGTGAATTGGGTCCGGGGGAAATTGGAGATTTCAGTTGTCGATTGAATGGGTAATGTATTGATGTTTCTTGGTTCCTGTTAATGTTGTTTTAAGTTACTTCGTGTGGGTACAACATTCCCCATAGAGCTCTAGAGCTGAAGTTCGCCAGTTACAAACAAAAACTTTAGCTCTAGAGCTTGAAGTTCGTCAGTTACAAAACAAAAATTTCAGCTCTAGAGCTGAAATTCGCCAGTTACAAACACAAAAACTTCAGCTCTAGAGGAGAAGTTCGCTAGTTACAAAACAAAAACTTCAGCTAGTTACAAAAACAAAAACTTCAGCTCTAGAGCTAAAGTTCGCCAGTTACAAAACAAAAACTTCAGCTCTAGAGCTGAAGTTCGCCAGTTACAAAAACAAAAACTTCAGCAATTACAAACAAAAACTTCAGCACACTTGGTTCAACACACTTGCTACTTCAGTCTCGTCTACTAGAATGCTGAAGTTTTGCATGATTATCTTTGCTACTTCAGCCTCGTATGCTGAAGTTATGCGAAAAAGTGGGTACGCTTGCAAATTTTTTTACAAAGCGGACACAAGTTAAAACGTAACCCAAAAAGCGGGTATAGATACAAATGCCTGAATACTTCTCCTTTAGGAAATTTGTTTTACTTTTTTAAGTTCCCTATTGTAGGTTTAACTTTCCCATAGTGAAATTAATTATGAAATAATAACAGTCATAAGAAAATGGAGCTTGCAATTGTTGAAAGGCATTTCTCTCTACCTCTTATTATTATTCATAAAAGAGATTATAGCAATTAATTTTAACACAACTTTTCTTTTATATATTTCTTGAAATGCTGAAGCCTGGAAACACTTATTTTTTCACTTAAGATTTTTTTTAAAAAAACAGATTCTATGTAGGTGCAAAAGCTGAGGAAAACTTGGCTTGGAATGTTGTCTTCAACAGTACCTTAGCTATTGATAATTCATGTTGTCATATTTAATTTTTATCCTGAAAAATATTCGGGCACAAGAAAAAAATTATATTTCATTTTGGAAAGCCAGCGAGTAAAATAAAAGAAAGGAAATTTTTTCTCAAATAAGTCATTCATTGTTGGATTCGGTCAATGTTTCACAAAAAATCTGAGTCTTTGGTCAAAGTTAAAAGAGAAATTCGGGTTACTGATAATCAGGAGACAAAAAATAAAATACTTTTGAGAACAATGGTAGAAGGTAAATAGATAAGTATTTCAGTGTATTCTCAATAGTATTTCGTGTCCTTACAAATGATGATACTTCTTCCTTTTATAGATCATTCTAGGTAAAGGAATAAAGCATCAGCTTTAATGATATAATCGTGAGCAATAAATGACATTAAATAAGTCGTTATACAATCATTCCTATTAAATACCAACTTTATAACGTATCAGACATTTAATAATGAATTTGGACTCCTTTCTGTCATCTGATCCTTGCTTTCAATGCCTTCTAATCCGTTGGCTGTAAATAATTTAAATTGGTACGAGACTCGTATCTATACATCGTCTCGTGCCTATTTAAATTCTTCTTCCCGTGGCTGTTTTCACCGTGCCTCTTAGTCAATTGCTGTTCTTTGACCATTCAACTAATCCACGTGTCATGCCACATCATTTTTAATATAAATTCAGTTTTTTCCCAATACAGATAGTCCCCCCACTTTTCATTTTTTTTATCAATTAAATAATTGGGAAGTGGATCTTCATGTAAAAAGAACTTTTGCCACAATTAATGCTCATGACAGTACTAACGTCTCAGCAGTCTTTTCCATTTAATGTTCTGTCCATGTGTCATTTTATAATTGATTCTGCTATTCATACCCTTCTTCGAGACTTCTTCATTCTCACTATTTACGAAGTGATAGCTGCCTTTATTATAGGCTTTTCATCATTATACTTTAAAAGTTGACGGTTCCCATTTTACACATAACTTTGTCTTCCTTTGTCTTCTTCACAAATTTTCAGCACATACTTTCTTCTTAACAATGTCTTCTTCAAACCCTAACCGTAAAAAAGTTCCAATTCTATATCAGTTCCCCAACGCCCCTGTTAGACACAGAAGAGGTGGAGGAAGTAGGCTTCGAACAGGGTTAGAATCTACGGCGGCTCCTCTGGTTCTTCTTCAAGGAGTTTTATCCCAAAGGCCCCTTCTTCTAAAAGTAGGGAAATTCTTGATACTTCTCAAGAACCCTCAGTCGATGATATAGTTCCCGGCGATTTGTCTTTTGAAAGTGACAAAACGTCTCTTCAAAAACAAATTAAAAATTTAGAAAGAGCCGACACTTACCCAACATTAGTAACCGAGCTTACAATCCCCACCATAAGAAGAGATTGTAACTGGAAGGATAGTCTCCGAATGTCAATTCCTTCTCCAAATCAAAAAATTTCATCTTTTAGAAATGGTTATTCTTCTGTTTACACTTACCCCTTCACTTTAGGTTTTAATCCTCCGATTGACCCAGTCATTCTCAATTTTTGTCGTTTATTTACAATTTGTTTGGCCCAAATTGGTCCATTGGTGTGGAGAACAGTGGCTTGTTTGAGATATTTATCATCCAAGGCCAATGTCAATTTCACCTTTTCTCATCTCATTCATCTATACCATCCCAACTTAATACGCCATGGGGTTTTCACCTTAACTGCAAGGAGCAAAAAAGTTTTGGTAAACCCTGAGGATGACAAAGATCGTGGATGGTATATCCGTTACGTTGCTGTCCGTACAGTGGATTTGATTGGCGAAACAAATATTCCCTTTCCTGAGAAGTGGAATTTTGAACGTAAGTTTCCTCTTATTTACCGTACATACTTTTGAGAATTTCAAAAGAATGTTGTTTTTAACCTCGTCCCTTCTTGGTTTTTTGTAGAAACCATGGGAGATGTGGAACCTATTCCCAACTTTCGTGGTTGAGTAGACTCACTTTTGAAGATTGCTACTAGGGAGCAGAGAACTTGGAAATCAATTTCTTCTTTACATGGCTGGAAAGTCAAAACACATGGTATCCACTCCTTTTTTAAAAAAAAAAAATTGTTTTACATGTTAAGCATTTTTTCCTCAACTTTAATCATGTATATCCATTCTTTAATCAGGATTTGGCATTAGAGGAATGA